CTAATCTCCTCCTGGAGAAGCAAGACCTCCTCCTCCAACTCTCCAACCTCAATTTTTAAAACACTGCAGAAGCAAGCCATGCTTTGTAACCGTCCACGCTAATCCCCAAAGCAGCTCAGGGTCTGTGACCTCACGTGACGACGTTTCCTCTTGCTCGGTATATACTGCTTGAATGACAGTCTACCTTTGAACAAAATCAAAGACTCGTCAATTACAAGATTCTTGAATGGATAAAAGTACAGTGGACCCCCGCTTAACGATCACCTCCAAATGCGATCAATTATGTAAGTGTATTTATGTAAGTGCGTTTGTACGTGTATGTTTGGGGGTCTGAAATGGACTAATCTACTTCACAATATTCCTTATGGGAAAAAATTCGGTCAGTACTGGCACCTGAACATACTACTGGAATGAAAAAAGTTCGTTAACCGGGGGTCCACTGTATATGCTGAACTTTTGTTTGAGATACATGAAAACATTTGTAATCTTGTATAACCTGTCACTTCTGTCAGGCCTGGTTTTGTCAGAGAAGTGCAACATACGTAAGAGTAAGATAAACCTGTTCACTGGTATGATTTCACTGAAGACCGGGGTAGAAATTAGCCGATCTGTGGACCAGTATGCTTTTATATTATGCTTATAGACATGAGGCATAAGCATTATTGTTGCAAAAAGCAAATACATTTCTGCAACAGTCGTCTCTTTCCACCTGTGTAGTCTTGACTGTGGTGATATGATCGTATTTGCCATGGTGTACTCAAAATACTTATTACTTTCCCTGACAATAGTTTCCATCAATGGCTGGTCAAAGAATAATTCAAAGAATTCCAGTTCATTGGCCGTCGTTCCAAGGGGACAAGTAGGTAGAATTCCACTTTGAGAGTCATCAAAGTGGTGAGGCTTGGGAACAAAATTGGGATTTTGCTGCCAATCCCACATACGGTTTGCTGGTGGATACTGAACATCATAGGCTGGTTTTGCGGGGGGTTGTGGTTGTGGTGGGCTGGTGGCTGACGCTCCGCTTTGTCCTTGAACTGACGAGTCAGCAGCGTGGGTCCCAGCGTGGGCTGGTGAGTCACGCATGGCGGTGCCACTACCATCACCACTACCACCATCCACTGATGCCTGTGGTCTATCCATGCCAAGTGTAGCCACATCATCCTCACTATCACTACCTAAAACTGGTGTAGGGCCACGGGATGTACTCCGGGATGTACTCCGTCCCCTGGGCACAGCATAGGGTACACTACCCGAGCGCATGTGGCGGCGAACATACCGACGCTTCACTGGTGAATATGATTCCTCACTATCACTACTCGAATGATCGTCGAGCGCAATAAAATCACAATCCACGTCACTATCATCATCATTACTGAAGTCAGAGGCCTGGCCACGCGAAAATATTAGTTTTCTCTTGCGTTGAGGAACAACCGACCGTGAGTCACGAGTGCCCACACCAGAGGTAGAAGGTTGAGGATCGTCAGGGTTTTCTGCACTATTATCGATATCCTGGTCATTCTTTTCGGTCACTAACTGATCAAAGCCGTAGAATTCGTCTTCATTTCCACTTCCATCAGTGTCAGAACTATCAGATAGGAAGAGGAGAGTCCCAATTTTCCGGGGAGTGAGAGCTGACTTGCGATGAGGCATGGTGAACAAGGGTAACTGAGCCGGCGTTCCCACAATGCTACATGCGGGCGCCTAGATTTTTTGTTTATGGTGCACACCCACCACGCAGACCCATTCTCTCACATGTAGGCCTATGAGCGCTTTCGTGCTAAATTTGACAGCGCTAGAATTTTGGCGTAGATCTATGGTTTGGACACTCAACGTGAAGCCGTAGATCTACGGGATGGACCCTGAAAGGGTTAACCTAACCTTGTCAAACACTGTGTAAAAAAAAAAAATAGAGATAGAGACAGAGACAGACACAAACACAAACACACAAACACACACACACACACACACACACACACACACACACACACACACACACACACACACACACATCTACCTACCTACCTCTTCCGAACCCGAGACTGACTCACTGAACCCCTGGGCTTCGATCGAACCCAGGTTAAGTACTACTGATATAGACATTTGGGAGTGGACATGTCAGCAGATGAATCTACAAAAGGTGAAACAAGTCACAGAATAGATGAAGGGGAAAAAAGTGGGTGGTGTGATGAGGCATGTTAAAAGAGAGGTACTTAATTTGGAGAGAGAGGAAAAAATAAGGAATGTACCAGAGTATAGTGGTACCAACATTATGTGAGAATGGGGCACTGGTTTTTGAATACTGCAGAAAAGAGGAGGCTAGGGGCACTGAAGATTTCATGTTTAAAAGCAATTTGTGTTGTGAACATCAAGCAGAACATTTGAAGTCAAAATTAGAAGGTAATATGGAGTCAGGTGGTGAGGAGGGGTGGTTGAGGTTGTATGGGCATGCAAAGAGGATGAAGAGGGATAGGCTGACAAAGAGAGTGTATAAATCTGTTGTGGAAGGTAGAAAGGCTCTCCTGGAAATGGTTCAAGGGAGGGGGGAGGTAAAAGAGGTTTTGAGATTTGGAGGCTTAAGCATCCAGTAGGCTTGTATGAGTGTGTTAGATAGGAGCAAATGAAACAAGTGTTTTTTTAATGGACATGCTGATGGAGTGTGAGCAAGGTAACTTTTATGAAGGGATTCAGGGAAACTGGTTAGCCAGACCTGAGTCCTGGAGACGGAAGTTGCAGTCGGAGGGTAATTTGAATTGTGATGTCAGCAAAATTCTGGAAAGATAAGAGATAGAATGAAAAATGACAAATGTATTTTCCTCTTTGGGTCACCTTGCCTTGGTGAGACATAGCTGTTGAGATAAAAAAAAATTCATCTTATGTATATAGCGAAATCACACGAAGTATTAATTTCAGGAATGAAACCCTTGTCCTATGCAAGGTTCCTCCCTGACCATTAGGAAAATAGTGATTGCATATAAACTGTTCAAATAACATATCTTCGTATAAATTATATATGCAGTATAACTCATTATGTCAGGGAAAAGAATTTCATTCTTTATCTCTTATGTATTTATTACATAATGCAAATCCCAGTTTCCGTTTGTAAGAATTTTAGGCTCTGCCTGGTTTTGATTACTAACAGATAGGTCTGTTGGGAATGACTATGATGTTTTAGCACGATGGACAGATAAAACTGTCTCCAAGTTATGTGTCAACCACACAGCTTTTCACATTCTCTGTTTTTCTTGCCATGCTTTTACTATCCTTTTAGCATTTCCTGGTACACTACATGTGGTACAAAGAATGATTTAGTTTATACCATACCAAGAACATCAATAAACTTATAAAGTACAAACGAGGTAAAGAAACCCCAGCAAGATGAACATCACAAGCTCAAGGATAACTGGTCTGGTGCTACAACCCACTTGGGCTTGCACAAGTCACCACCTAAGTGTTTGATGGAGTATCTGGAGTTTTGCAGATGCAAATTTTAGCAATATTTGCTTAGAAACAGATCATCAGGTAGAAAGATGTGTAGGGGTATAGAGTGCCTTGTCCTTCCTGTGGGAAAAATGCTTAAGCAAGGGGATTATTGGGCCTGAAATTTTTATAAACAGAGCTGGAAGAGTCAAATCTCCCAGAAAGTACTGCCACCGTAATAAGAATTTTCAATAGTTTGCATTTTTCCTAAAACTGACTGACAGCCATATCCCTTAATAATGATTAAATTTCCAGATACTGTACCAGATTTTGCCGATGTGAAATAAATTAAGTTTTAGCAGCATCTGCTCTCGTGGTTTTTTATCTACTTTCTCTAATGACCTTTTCAAGTTTCTGGCTCTAATATACAAGTCTCCATCTTCATGCCATTGCTTTAGGATAAGGAAATGAACACCTTCAATCAAGGCTAAGAGAGTGAATATCTATCAAGGTTACAGAACTGAACACTTTCTATAAAGGCTAAAATACTGAGCACCTTAAAATGCTCTCTTCACTTTTTCCACTATCTCCAGCTTGAAAGTTGCATCTGTACTTGACTGAAGAAGCCTGCTGAGGAGGCTTAATGTTGCACATGTCTTATTCATCTCTTTACAACACTTGTTAACAAGACTGGCATAAAGTACAGTCTTTGTCCAATCACTTTTCAAGTTTCAGCACAATGTTTGCTATTTCCAGTTTATTTTCCAGTTTATGTTATTGTAATGAAGTCCTAATTTTTTTTCAGAGTGAATAGTTTATATCAGTGTTTCTCATACAGTAACTCATGACACCTGTAGGGGCTATCAGCTGGGTACAGTAACTCTTAAATGCCTGGTGGGTTGTTTAGGAAGCTGTCTGAGAAATACTGTCTTGGTTCTTTTGCATATTGCTTCAGATCCCTGGGTGATACTGTACCTGGTCTCACTTACTTTGTAAATACTTTGCAACTACATACTACATGGAATACTTGGTGTCATGTACGCATACTTTTCTAATTCGGCTGTTATGTTGCCTTGCATATTTATCTTATTTTTACAAACTTGAATGGGAGATTTGGTTTCAATTTGCTCTCATCTGCCATTATCTTCTTAATTTTTTTTGTTTCTTCTCTCCCTATGTCTGTACCGCACTATTACTCCTGGCTTGTTGGAATTTTTGGTAAGTTTTCGTTTGAAAATTTCTGTACTGGTTCCAAATTCTTCATTCTTTTTTCCATGACTTACCAGCACCTGCTGTTGAACCATTCAGTTTTATTTAGGGCTATATGTCTCGTTTTTCTTCGTTTTATAAAATGGTATGCTCTTAGCTACAAGACAGTCACATAAAAATAATTTTTTTTGTGAATACATATATTAACCAAAATTTAAAAAATCTGGCATATATCAAGGAAAAGTAAGTTTTGAAATGTTTGGGGAAAATTTCTACATATGATGTCCCTTTCTGTATGTAAAAAAAATGCACGCACAATGTATGTAATACTAGATGAAGAACATTCATTATTGAAGCATTTAAAGAGTGCCTACCTTAACATGCTGTCTCAGTAGTGTAGAGGTGGGGAACACCTTGTTGCACTTGAGGCACGGTACACGACCTTTCATGTGCGTGTAACGCAGGTGCTCCTTAAGAGAGCCTCTGATCTTGAAACGTGTGCCACAGATGGTGCACTCCCATGGCATGAAGTCTTTGTGGGAGTCGACGTGCACCAGGAAGTCTGCTTTACGGGCTATAATCTCTCCACATGTCTTGCACTTGTGTTGCCCATCCACTTGATACTCCTCAAGAAGCTCTTGGACCTGTTAGCAAACAAAGAATAAAACTGCTTAAAATAATATACAATATAATAGATTTGAATGCTCAGGACAGCAGAGCATACACTCTACTTTCTAAGAATGTAATAAATACCATATAAAAAAAAATACCTGCTTTTTGGATTTTGCAAAAATCTTCTCTTTAAAATATTAAAAAAAATTCTACGTTCACTTGAATATCCCATGCTATTACTCATAATCATCACAGCAAAGCCTTTCATGGTGTTTGTTCCAGCATTAACCCTTAAACTGTCCAAACGTAGATCTACGTTCACATGCGTAGTGCTCCAAAAGTACATCTACGTTTTTTACATATTTTCAAATATATAAAAGAAAATGTAGATCAAAGTTTCTTTTACACGCTTTCAAATGTAAAAAAAAAAAATTACGTTTTTTTTACATACTTTCAAATGTTGAAAAAACGTAGATCTACGTTTGGACAGTTTAAAGGTTAAAGTCAGACCTTGACAAGTCACCATGCTTATGTCCCAATCTTCTTCTCATAATTGTCTTGACTGCATTTTGTATACTGCACAATAAAGTTTGTGTTTGTTACAGTAGTATAGACTGTACGCTGTCAGAAAATGCCTTGCAAATAAAGCGTTTGTGTTATGGAGAACAAGAACCAATCAAGCGGCCAGGAAAAGCAGAAAAATCAAGAAATAACAGTATTCTATACTATCAATATTAAGACTTTCAAGCTATTGGCTGCAAGCATAACACAAACTACATTAGTTATCTGGGATGACATGCCAGGAATATCAGTCGTGCAATGCTTTTAATGTGGAAGAGAAATAACATTACAAGTCTTTCTGGTCATAACCTGAAAATATATCATGATTAACAATGTCATTTAAAATTTATTCTTACAGGTAAGCAACTTCCAGACTGAGAGGGTTACAAATGCTGGATGTGTAATCTGATGCATGTAATTAACACTGAAAATGTTAACCCTTTCACTGTTGGTCCCATAATATTACTATTAACGGCTTGCAAGCCAGTGTCAGTCCCGTAATACTACGCCAAAATTCTAGCAGCTTCAGATCTGGTGAGAGAAAGCTGACAGGCCTACATGTGAGAGAATGGGTTTGTGCGCTCAGTGAGAGCAGTGTGAAAAAAACTGGGAGGCCGCAGTGCATTGTGGGAGTGCCAATTCAGTACGCCTTGTTCATGATGCCTAGCAGTAAGGAATACCTCACTCCCTGGCGAATTTGGGACTCTTCTTTTCCCAAGTGATAGTTCTAACACAGATGGAAGTGTCAGTGAAGATGAATTTCATGGTTTTGAGGAGTTTGTGACTGCAAGCAATGCCCAGGATACCAGATACAGATACAGATAGTGAAAGGGGAAGACAGTATAGGTGGTAGGGAAGATGTTGTGGGTGGAGAAGACAGCATGGTTAGTTGGGAAGACGGCATGTAAGTAAGTTTATTCAGGTATACACGAATACAGTTACATAAACTATCATGCATAGCAGCATATGTGTAGATTGCCTAGAATAACCCCCAAAAAAGTCAAAGTGCCTTATTTCCAGCGTGGGTGGTGGGGAAGGCAGCGTGGGTGGTGGGGAAGGCAGCGTGGGTGGTGGGGAAGGCAGCGTGGGTGGTGGGGAAAGCAGCATGGGTGGTGGGGAAGGCAGCGTGGGTGGTGGGGAAAGCAGCGTGGGTGGTGGGGAAGACAGGGTGGGTTTGTGTAAACAAGTTTTTCAAACAATATAATGATAACAATATTTGTGCAGTTATTATGTTGCATACGAGTGGATATATATACATTATATTGGTCTTACAGGCCACAAAAGTTACTTGAAAAAATAAAATATTAGAAAAGAAAAGAAAAAATAGAATAAAAGTAAAAATAATACTATCGAGTGAGCGATAGTCACCAATGTTGCCGTAAGCGGTTCATTTTCTGTTAACTTCACGCCTCTTATATCTTGGTAACTACTGATCGCAATTTTTTTTCTTTTATAACACTCAGAAAATTATTGTTAAGATTTTGATAAGAAAAAAAAAAAATTTTTTTTTTTGTATATTTTCAACAATGAGAGCAAGTTTGTAAGCAGGGGAGGTCTTGACAATGAAAGGGTTAAATAAAGTCTATTTACAAGCCATTTACCATTTCTTGCTACTGCCATCAAAACAAAGTGGCTATGATGACAAATTGTCTGGTTCAGTATCAATATGTGAAAAAAAAAGATGAGAAAAATGTTCATTTTTTAAGCATTCCACAATTTGGAAATAACTAATAGCTTGACTATTGGACATGTTCCCCAGACAAGTGCTTGTGTTTGGGTAGTACATCAGACTACGTTTTCATCAAAGATGATTTGTTTTAGTGGGAGAAACAGGAATGATAATTTGGTATGTAAATAATGAAATTTATTCATTATCTGAGAAGAAATAATTGTTATCTAGATGGATAACAACCTTAGAGTTGTCAGCATAAAACACATTCTTATTTTGTATTTACCTTATTTTATTTATAATAACACATTTGCAAGGGCTCATATTTTATAGCTGCCCATCTACATTCGGTGCTGTCAGTTTTTCTGCCTCTTTACTCCCAGCATTCATTACACTCTTCAAAATATTTGACCATGTGAGGAAGGTAAAGTGTGGGACCTCAACTTTTTTCCAACAACCATGAGATGTGCACATTACCACTGAGCCAAGGCTAATGAATGATCATTACATTCACCAATCCAAGTTTTATCTTATCCTCATTCCCCCACGTGACCAGTATAACATTGGTTAATTATTCCTTTCACTCCTATCTATAGCATTCTTTTATAAAAGGTGCACTACTAGTTTTCCTATATGCACTGGAAAATCCATTTATTAAGCTTGCAAACATACATCAACCATATATCTACACGGAAACAAAACTATAAATTAACCACTAATAAACATTTAAAACTTACCTTGGGTCCATAATGTGGATGTGACTGAACATCTTTAACAATGACGTAGCACTCGAGCATGTAGAGACAATTCCACTTGCACCTGTCTTCAGAATGTGAGGATACTTCCTTCTGATTCTTAAAGCCATGGCCACAGTCACTACACCAATATCTCATAGATTTGATGTAATGACTCCACTTAAAGTCTTTGGCCCTAAGTTTCCGTTTAGACACTGTGGAAGGAAGGTGTTTGATGATCACTGAGTTTTCATTGTGGAACACCTTGCTTGTGTGTGATTTCTTAGCTTTTTTCCCAACTATTTGTCCAGATGCATTAAAGGATGATTTATCACAATTTTCTAAGTCATTATTGATATCTGAAGAATTAATGGCCAGCTGTTGGGCTTTGATTGAGGCAATACACTGTTCTACATTGTCCTGCTCCTCCATCTGTGAATCTGCCAAGATTATGGATGACTGAACTAACATATTGCCAAGTGGGCCATCTTCTTCGCTGGATTTCTCTACTCTAATTGCCTGAATCTCTTCCTCTAATTCTGTCTGTCGTAGCTGCTCCTGGAGACTGCGATGGCGGCGCTCTTGTCGCTCACGCACAAGACGAGCCTGTTTTATACGTTTGGGCCCAATGAACACTCCTTCCCGACTCTGGCTCTTCCAGCGTCTTTTGGCTGGTCTTAGCTGCACAAAAGTTGGAAAACCATCTTCGCTATTAACTTCACTATCAGATGAATCACAAGACTGTGAATTACTTTTGACTGCCAGAGGATGAGTAGGTAAAACACCGTAACCATTAACAGAACCATTTTCATGTACTGTTATTGTACATTTATAGTCCTCTAGATCATCTATCTGACTATACTGTTTAGCAGCCAGAGTTCTACTTTTGGGACCGATTTTATACAGAGGTTTTTTGGGAAGAGCATTATTTGTGATGTGATCTTCCTGGTGTTGATAAGTACTATTATTCTCAACTGACTTCTGACTAAAGCTATCACTTTCCTCCTCCCCACTGTGACTGGTTGTTGGTTGTTCTTGTTGATTTTCTTCTGGATGAGATTCTTCCTGTAGTTCTTCCTGCTGAGATTCTTCGTGCTGGGTTTCTTCTTCTTGGGTTTCTTCCTGCTGTGTTTCTTCCTGTTTGATCTCTTCCTGCAGGATTTCCTCCTGCTGGGCTTCCTCCTGCTGGAGTTCTTCTTGCTGCAGTCTCTCCTGTTGAATTTCTTCCTGCTGGGCTTCCTCCTGCTCAGTTTGCTCCTTTTGAGTTTGTTCCTCTTGGGTTTGTTCAGCATCGGTTTGGTCTTTCTGTGTTTGCTCCTCTTTTATTTCTACCTGTGGGATTTCATCCTGCTGTTTTTGATCATGCTGGGTTTCTTCCTGTTCATGTAGAGTTTGTTCTTGCTTAGTTTGTTCTTCTTCAGTTTGCTCCTGCTGGGCCAGATCCTGTTGGGCCAGATCCTGCTGGGCCAGATCCTGCTGGGTCATCTCTTCAAGTTGGTTATTTGATGGTTGAGACTGGGCTTCTTGTTGATGCAACTCGGGTGGTGGAGGGTGAGATTGTGGAAGTAGCTGGGATTGTTGGGATGTGAGTTGTGGTTGTTGTTGTTGTTGTTGTTGTTGTTGTTGTGGAGATGACTGAGGTGGTTGTGCTGGTGGCTGTGCTGGCAGTTGTACTGGTGGTTGTGCTGGTGGTTGTGCTGGCGGTTGTGCTGGTGGTTGTTGGTGCTGGGTATGAGCTTGTGATGGTGGTGCCGGAGTTCGTGGCTGTGATGGTTGAGACTGAGCTGGCTGGGGTGGATGAGACTGTATCTGACCCTGCTGAGACTGCAGCATTTGTTGTGATGGTATTTGTTGAGACTGTGACTGATGCTGCTGTGGTGCCTGAATTTGCTGTGAATGCTTCTGTGATGCCTGTGGAAGTTGAGAAGACTGTGGATGCTGCTGCTGTGATGACTGCTGCAACTGTGATTTTTGCTGCTGCTGCTGCTGACTGGAAGATGGATAAGAATAAGGACCATATGACTGAGGGAACCCTGAAGACTGATGAACTTGGCTGGGCCAAAGATTCCAGCCTGTTTTAGAATCCATGCGTGCACCTCCAGCAGTGTACCACAGACTCTGAGGATAACCCTGTTGGCTTGATGCCCCTCTACTGGCTAAGTCTGGGGGGTATCCAGCACCTGGTGGACCACCATATGGTGCTGAATAATTATTCTGCATTGGGTGATAATTTGAAGACTTATGTGCTGCCATTGGAGGCTGGGAATGTGAACTTCCTGTGCTAGACTGAACACTGCTGCCCTGAGAATATCCATAAGAATACTGAGCACTGGGCCCAGAGTATCCTGACCCTACACTACCAGACCAGCTAGGATAACTCTGCTGTGGTGGCTGGCGTTGTTGTGGAGTGGGATGGTGCTGTTGTGTCTGGTGTTGTTGCTGTGGTGATTGTTGCTGTTGCTGTGCCTGTGGTGGTTGTTGGTGTTGTTGTGGAGACTGCTGGTGCATCTGCGAAGGCTGTTGCATTTGATGTGGCACCTGCTGGTGTTGTTGCTGTGATGACTGCTGGTGCTGTTGCTGTGGTGGCTGTTGTTGGTGCTGTGGTGGCTGTTGTTGGGTTGGCTGTTGCTGTGCTGGCTGCTGCTGCTGTTGTTGCTGTTGCTGTTGTTGTTGTTGTTGTTGTTGTTGTTGCTGTTGTTGTTGTTGCTGTTGTTGTTGTTGTTGCTGCTGCTGTTGTTGTTGCTGCTGTTGTTGCTGCTGTTGCTGTTGTTGTTGTTGTTGCTGCTGCTGCTGCTGTTGTTGCTGCTGCTGTTGTTGATGTTGTTGTTCATTCTGCTGGTAACTTGCCTGTTGTGACATCTGTCCATAGCTTTGCTGCTGTGCTGGACTCCATGACTGTTTCCGCTGTTGCTGGCTCTGTTCCCTTGGTGCCAAGGTAACTGTATCAGAGTGTAATATGGACTCTTGATTCACATTATTCTGAGGACTTAGTTGTTGCTGCTTGGAAATTGTAACACTAATCTGCTCCTCTTCTTTCTGCTGTGGGGGAGAGTTCACCCGAGACTCTAGCGTATTTTCTTGGTGTCTACTTTGTTGGGCTTTACTGTCTTGCTTGTCGCAATGGATTTCTTCATGTTCAAGTGAGGTGTCATCTCTAGATATATTATGTGAGGACAGAGCAGGATAAGTGTGTGCCGGGGAGGATGAGGCATGTTGTGACAAGTCCTCAGGCATATCTTTCATATCGTCTGCCGAGGCAGTTTTTGGTTCTTCAGGGTGTCTGTCAATAGTGCCATGGGATACTAGTAGGCTCTTTTGTCCTTCTGATTGATGTTGATGTTTTTGCTGATGCTGATGATGGTGCTGTTGATGGTGTTGCTGATGCTGATGTTGGTGCTGCTGCTGCTGTTGGTGTTGCTGCTGATGAAGATGATGATGATGATGATGATGCTGTTGTTGACGCTTCTGCTCATTGGACATGATTTGGTCCTTTTGAGTCATTTCTCTATCTTGTACTGAATACTCCTCACTAGTTATCCGAGACACTGTGTGAGAGCAATGGTTATCTTGTGCTTGTTCAGCAACACTATTATGCTGCTCATATACCTCTGTTGTCACTGGTCTTGTGGCAGGGGACTGCTGTCTTCTTGACGGACTTTGGCCTGTGTAACTACTGGGAGGCTCTTGAGACAAAGTACTCCCTCTCTCACCTATTCTTTCATTGGTTTCTCCTATGATACTGGATACAGAATAAGAGCTACTTTTTCGAGGCTTGATATAATTCGAGCTCAAGGCCGCCTCTGTTCTTGAATCATTCACAGAGAGATTTTCTGATACAGAACAGGCAGGAAAAGCATGCCTAATCTGGGCCTGAGATACATGTGGGTCTGCTCTCATTGAATATGTCATGGATAAGCTACTTATGGGGGTTCTGGAGTTGTGGTGATCACCATGATTTGTTTCCATCAAAGGGTGTGGGGCAGGTGGGGTCTGGGAGGCTGGGTGCTGGGTGGATGGGTGTTGAGAAGAATGCTGGGATGAGTGATGGGTGCTTGATGGATGTTGCGTGGACAAGCGCTGGGTAGAAAGGTGCTGGGTGGACGGGTGTTGTGGCCCGGGGGTGACAGCTGGGGCAGGGGTATAGGCAGGTGTAAGGGGAGATGGGGGTGCATGTAATGAAGGAAGTAGGCCCTGTTTTTCCCCCCATCCCATACGTTCTAATGCCATAAGAGGACTGTCTGGGGCACCCACTCCACCTGTTCTGGTGTTGTTGGGAGGACCTAAGCTAGAGGTGAGAGATGATGGAACTCCTGAGGAAGTAGCAGAGAGAGACTGACTAAGATGACCCCCTGCACCATGTTGCAGGCTGTACATACTGAGTGGTGGTTCATGTACTGCATGAACAGACTTCATGTGTGCTAAGCATTCACTCATCAGACGGAACACCTGACCACACACCTGACAGCGGCGCATTTTGTCTAAATCTTTCTTGGATTCAATGACGTCTACTGGTGGGCTTGGTGTTGCTCCAGTGCCACCAAGACTACCTGTTAAGTTGTGTGGACCCGGTGATGGAGGAGTGGAAGTAACAGGTGACAGAAGAGATGATGAGCTCCCATGGCCCACTCCCAATCCACTGGCCAGAGGTGAAGGACTTCCTTGTCCTCCACTAAATTTTCCTTTAGAAAACATTGAGCCAGTTAGCCCAAGGTCAGTGGTAGGAGCCTGTAGACCACCCAGGGATGGTGGGGTGATGCCAGAGGCTCCTGCAAGCTCTGAAGAATAGCCAAGATTGGAGCCCAGGCTCGAACCCAGCCCCGAACCCAGACCATATTTTGTGTAGCCGTACTGGTAACCCAGCCCATACTGCTGATAGTACATAGAAGAGTTATTGATGGGTGGAGCAGAGTAACTGCCCATGCCTGAGGAATAACCTGGAGGGACGGCAGTTGGCTTGCCATAATAGGGGCTGGATACTTGAGTCAGGTCACCTGGGTAGCCGTTGTAGTAGGGGAGGGCAGCTGGGGGTGGCACATAGCCAGGGTAGGGCCCCGGGTACCCTCCAGACCCACCAAAACTGTTGTGCATCGAGTTCATTTTCTCTTACACCGAACATACATTACTACCATTTCTATTTGCACTCTCTCACTTTAAGCTCTACTAAGGTAGCATCCTTAATATCTATTTACGTTAAGTAACGAGACGATAAACACTGTCCATCAAGGTCTTAACACTATCACTGGATAAGGATTCATGTAGCTGCCATGGTCAATGTTGTTTGACTGCTGAGTATTGAGAGATTTATCACTGGTGTGAGATTCAACAGTTATTGCCAGATCAGATCACTGCTTCACAGTTCAGGATCTTTCTGCAAAGAGAAAAAAAAAATTGATATCTTGCTTACAAATATAATATACAGGAGAATAAGGTAAAAAGTACAGCATCATTAATACAGTGATACCTTAATTTAACGAACTACTGTGGGAAGTGTAACAGCCTGTAATGCCAATTACGTATCCACTAAATAAGAATAATGAGATTGTTTTCCCATGATCATAACAACAGACACTTTCTGGAAATAATAAAGGCTTTCCATTGTTTCTGAAAGCAATTTACCCACTGGATTGTAACAATAATGAAAATTCTGAAAATAATGAACATAGTTTGCTATTTCCAAAATTAATTTACTCAGTGTATAGTAACAATAACGAACAATTCAGGAAACAACAAAGTCCACTATTTCCAGACTATGTCCACTGTCTGGATATTGTCTGCTAAATCAAAGATTAACTATACTTTATTTCCAATGTTCATGGTGATAAGAGGCACTTTTGGTTAAAGCAGGGGAAACATACTTTAGGAAAAGAAGGTTAAAGACATGAATAATAATGAAATAAAAACAAATTGCATCCAAATGTCTAATTTTCAGCTGTTTTCTTGTATCTGACAAGACATTAGATATCATGGCAAGGAATAACTCTGCTATACTACAGTAATTATTCACAAAATGAGCAATCTGGATAACTGAATCATAAATATCTCCAAACTGTGAAGAAATGCACACATGAATCTCAAAATTTAAGATTATTCAAGAGTATTAACCTTGATATGCTAGTGTTATGAACAAGAATTTAGTGTGTGCTGGCAGGTCTATATTAAATCTTAAGTCACCAGCCACATGATCTAATTCCTACAAGGCAAATCTGACTACCATACATACTAGCATGGCCCATCATTGCATGAATGGCTAAAGAAGCGATATACAAAAGGTAGCTGAGCATTTCCCTACCACAAATACTGATAAAAATAACAGAAAATAAGAAAAATTAGCAATGTTACTTACAAAAATATTACAGAACAATTAAAAGATGTATTTTATGACACTTAGAAAAGTGTTTTTTTTCACGAAAATGGACTTTGTGCTCATTTATACAAAATTGTAAGGGACTAGGCATGTTTCTGCTCCATATACAGTTGGTGTGTTTTTATTTACTGTCAAACTAAAATACATGTGTACATATTACTTCTGGAATCACTTTCACTGCTGTTTGGTACAGCATAATTTTATACCATACTGGGAAGGTTCTTTACCCATACAGTACTTATATTGTGTCTCACATACTCTGACTCATCTTTATTTACTGTCTTTATCAAACTATAACACAGTGAACACTCTCACTGACAGACTAAAGAGGGGGAGGGGATGTATGATATTCCTGACTATCCAAATATTCTGAATTATTAAATAAATTTTTCATGACTGTCCAGGTTTCTTCAGAACTAGAAGACTTGGTCTACTGGTGTAGAAGACAACTAGACACTAAAAATAAGAGTATTGTACAGTACAGTACAGTACAGTACAGTACAGTACAGTACAATACTGTACTGTACTGTACAATACTCTTATAATTTACAGTAATTTTACTTACCCTTTCATGGTGGAGAGATGAGGTGCAAAGCTCTACTGGCATCTACACTAAATTTAAGAGCGCAGTCTATAAGTATGTCCTTGCTTCCACAGACATCAGACAGTTTCTTAACACCATATTTCTCACATACCTGTGCCCCTGAGACACCACACTCAACCTTCTTCATTAGTTCATTCTTATATTGTATTATCCGAGAAACAGGTTAAAACTTTGATTGTTTTGTGTAATGATGAGGAGCAGGTGTTATAAATCAGAGGCCTGGGGACATGATTAATGAATAGTGACTGGAATGTAATTTTTTGAAATTAGTGTAAAATTGGCTAAATAACCGACTCCTGTGCGCACTATAGGGTATGTTAGGTAAAAAGGACACAAGTGCAACTGACATGACATTTTATGGTGCCCCGTAGCCTGGTGGCGAAAGCTCTCGCTTCACATGGCAAGGGTCTGGGTTCGATTCCTGGCAAGGATAGAAACACTGGGCATGTTTTCCTACCAGATGATTATGTTCCCCATCAGTAAAATGGGCACCTGGGTGTTAGTTGACTGGTATGGGTCGCATCCTGGGACAAAACTGACCTAATTTGCCCGAAATGCTCTGCATAACAAGTGGCTTTCTATATACGTAGTAGTATGTCACTGATGTCAGATAGGCCTGTATACCTTGTAAATGTACTTGTAGAAATAAATATTAATTAATTATTTATTGTGGCAACATTTCCCTCTCCAGGAGCTTTATCAAGCCGTTATGGCTTGATAAAGCTCCTGGCTTGGTAAAGCTTTGCTGGTACCAAGTAGTTCCCCAAGTACATATACCTTACGTGAGGTAAGGATAGATTGCTCTCTCTTATATTTTGGGGAATATTTTAGCTTTGTTCCCAAACATTATGTATAAGTTCTTTTCAATATTGATTAGAAGTTTGCTGTAGGCCAAGTACGTATCTTAATGAGCTTTATCAAGCTGTTACGGCTTGACAAAGCTCCTGGAAAGCGAAATATTGCCACAATAAAATGTCACATTAGTTGCACTTGTCTTTTTACCTAACATATTGTCAGTAATGCTACCAACATTATTACACACTATAGGGTAGTCCTGATATTTGATAGAACAAAAGGCAAACTAATGAAACTGCTATGAAATGAGTTGAATTGAGTATTAGAATTAGCTTAATATAGGACTCAAATTGGACAAAATTGCCTATGCACAAATTGTGCCCAGATTGCCAAAAGTGTACCTGTGTAATTCTGTAAATTTTCCATCAAATTTTGTATTTTTGGTGTCAAGACTTTCAGAAAAAGATTCTCTAGCATTTCAGAAGATAATTTTAAAAGTGTCCTATTATACATGTAGCATGCACAGTAGTATGGATGTTCTGTATGCCGAGTAAATTAAACTTTTGAATAGCTGGAAGTGAGAACATAGCTCTGTGGTCACCCCTATGCTGACTGGTCAAGTAGATAAAGCACTGTTGTTAAGGGTTACATGGTGGTATCTGTTGCTGAGGTAAGATTTTACGTACTCGAGAGCACTGCTTTTGATTACATAACATGTTCTCATTTGAGCAGCAGGATCTGTTGGTCTAAAGAATCAAAGACATTCTTCAGATCAATAAAATAGATACATTGTAACCTTTGCAAAGAAATAAGATCTTTATCTTTATATTGGATGTTCAATATTTTCTAGACATGAACAGACTGTGTCAAGCATTTTAATAATGGCACCCTTTGTACTTTTTCCTGACTTGAAGCCAACTTGGGAAGGGTTAAGTATACTACATATGGTTAAGAATTCATACAATTGCATATGTACTACATTAGTGGTTTTCTTTTGTGCCTAACACTATTTTTATTACAGGCAAACTATATTATCTGAATACTGCATAAAAGAAATAAAGTATATCTGAATTTGAATTTAGTTCCAATCTGTATTGCTTCTCATAGTTATGTTTTGTGTAAAGGATATAAGGATGCTGTTGGTTTGCTATGGGGCTCTTTAATATCTTTGATGTGATCTGCTTCGTTTTTAAATGACAATGTCTAATGCAGAAGCTTTCAATTTTTTGAAGGGACACAATGGACACTTGAGTTAATGTTTTGATCATTGTTATATTCTCTTTGCCAGTCAATGCTGTTGACTGCTATGATAAAGCTGTTCGCTGATGCCTCATCGTGGAGTCTGAATGATATTTTGCTAGTTTCAAGTAGTGATTTAGTTATATTGGTGACAAAAGGATAGGTAGGGATGAGTTGTGTTATCTGTGTCAATGACAGCTTTTAAGAACTTGTTTATTTGTCCGTATATGGTTATGCGAAGCTGCTGCTGCCACAATTCTTGTATGTCTGATTATCTATGGTATTAGTATGCAATCATACGAAGAATTGCTCGGGGAATCAACTATCTGTTGGTCTTCTGAATGAATGAGGTTAATATTTGAGTATCTTGAGATTATCAGGTGATGTTTATTTAGTTTGATGTTTATGATCAGGCCATTATTAGTGTCACCAAAGTTACCTGTTACTCTTGAGACCTACAGACAGCTCCTATTATACAGTATGTGGGAGTCTTTAAGCTTTTGGTTTGTGCAGGTATGTATTCACCAACCTCATTTCTTTAACATGCTGAGTTAGTATGTTTCATTTCATAAATGTAGCAGACTGCAGTTCCACTTCCCTTCTGATTAGGGGTGAAGTTGTATATGGCTGTGTACCTGATGTAAGTGTATAAAGTATCTTAAATGTCTAGAGTATCATGCTTTAGCCAGGTTTCTAAGAATGCATTAATGTTATCTTAGTGTTTGCTTAGAGATCTGACATTGCAGTAAAATAATGAAATGTTGTTGGTGTTACTGATGACAGATTTAGCTTGGCTAGTTGAGCAATATTTGCAGTCCTAATCTGAAGTGAACTGATTATTCTAGAGATGAAAGAAGACTTAATACAGGACCAACATTGGTATTCATGGGCTGTGATAATAACAATAATTAAAAAGGAGTTTGCATTTGTATATAATAAAGAATAATAAAATTTTAATGACAGTTAAAAAAGGAAAACAAAATCATGCCACTGAACATTATTACATAACAACATACTAATTTACTGCTCTCTAAGAGTGCCAAACTTTAAATAAGCAAATTTCTCTGATTGTGGACCCTGATGACTGGAAGACAGGTGATATGAGAGACTGTGACAGTCTGCAACCATTACAACCTCAAGTTCATGTAGCATATTGATTAGAGTGCAGGTGTGGCTATACCACCACAGTCACTACCACAGGACAAAGTGCCCTGTTTCACATATGCAAATCAGGGTAGACATGATCAGCCATGCATGCAACCTGCAACCTGCATTCATACCTAAGGGAACCAAAAAGTGAGATGGTTGTACTCATCACCTAAACGAGGAAGTGTGGGTGGAGAAAGGGGGGTGGTGGGGGAAAAGTGAGGGAGAGGAATGAGGGAGTGTGGGGGATGGAAATTGTTGGTGGTGACCGTGGTGGAGGTGGCACACGGCCGCCTTCCTCCAACAATCAATAACTTGGGAGGCACTGCTTCTTCCCTACCACTGCCTCCTCTCCTCTCTTCCCTCACTCCCCCTCACGCCCCTACCGCCCATCACCAACTCTCTCTGTGGCACAAATTGATAGGTTCGCCTATAATTACTGTCATTTCAAAAGTCAGGTGGATTTCAAGGATAAATAACCTGTCCCGAGTCTCCGCAAAGTCGCTGCAATATGAACAAAGCAAAACTCCCCCAAACACCACTTAACGAGGCTGACACTTGGTACTGACCTTCTGCAAGTGCCATGCATCCTCCTCCACGCCGCTCCGGGAGGTTTTCAAGTCTTACAAGCGGCAAATAATCGAGATAAGGCCATGATGCTCCGTGATACCCCGTAACGGAGCGTGATTACAATGTTTATCAATAGATGGCGTTGAGCGGGGGATGCCAGGCCAGCAGGGGCGGCCGGCGGGGCGCGGACCAGTGTTGCATACATTGCAAGTCTCACCTGGTGGCCTGCACACACACACATACACACGTACACTTGCACACACACACACACACATACATACACACGCGCCACAGGTCACCCACCTCACAACCCTCCATATGCAACTTAACACAACCCAAGAACAAGCTTGCAACCTACTATGCAACATATATATATATATATATATATATATATATATATATATATATATATATATATATATATATATATATATATATATATATATATATATATATATATATATATATCCAGGAAATCACTAAGTTTTTGTAGAGTATTTCTTAGAATGGAGTCTATGAATTCCGGCATAATTCCGGCACAATACCGTCATAATTCCGGCACAATACCGTCATAATTCCGGCACAATTCCGGCATAATTCCGGCACAATTCCGTCATAATTCCGGCACAATTCCGGCATAATTCCGGCACAATTCCGTCATAATTCTGGCACAATTCCGTCATAATTCCGGCACAATTCCATCATAATTCCGGCACAATTCCGTCATAATTCCGGCACAATTCCGTCATAATTCCGGCACAATTCCGTCATAATTCCGGCACAATACCGTCATAATTCCGGCACAATTCCGGCATAATTCCGGCACAATTCCGTCATAATTCCGGCACAATACCGTCATAATTCCGGCACAATTCCGGCATAATTCCGGCACAATTCCGTCATAATTCCGGCACAATTCCGTCATAATTCCGGCACAATTCCGGCATAATTCCGGCACAATTCCGGCACAATTCCATCATAATTCCGGCACAATTCCGTCATAATTCCGGCACACCGGCATAATTCCGGCACAATTCCGGCATAATTCCGGCACAATACCGTCATAATTCCGGCACAGTTCCGTCATAATTCCGGCACAGTTCCGTCATAATTCCGGCACATTCCGTCATAATTCCGTCATAATTCCGGCACAATTCCGTCATAATTCCGGCACAATTCCGTCATAATTCCGGCACAATTCCGGCATAATTCCGACACAATTCCGGCATTATCACAGACAACACAGATCAACCAACTTAGGTAAATTGCCCCAAGACACTACTAACGTTCCCTTCAGACTATATAATGAGATATCAGTTAATAACCTTATAACAACTACGAATAACATCGACTGGAATAATGAGCTAGAAACATACATTTACTGATGAATGTATTAATAATTTTCTAAAAAAAAAAAAACACTACCTCTATAACAAGCATTGCCCTAAAAAAAACTGAAACAGATCACAGCCAAGAGACTGAACAATCCCTGGATAACACCAATCATCCTTAAATCCATTAACACAAAGAACCTAAATGAGAAACAGTATAGAATGGGCCAAATAACCAGAGACTATTCTAAACGTTACTCCTCAGTCCTTACCAGCCTGATAAGAAGGTCAAAAAAATTGTATTATGAGAACGGATTACATAACATAAAAGGTGATATGAAAAATACCTGGAAAACTCTATCTGAAATTCTAGGAACTAAAAAGATATCCAAAAGCAAAACAGTCAAATTAACAAAAAGAGATGAACCCCAACTCACACCTACTGAAACGTCACACAGACTCAATGTTTTCTTCTCCACCATAGGAAAAAATCTAGCGAGCAAAATACAAACCTCAAACACCTGTCCATCAGACTACCTCACGGGTACCTACCCACATACACTATTCCTAGCTCCAGACACCCCAACAGAAGTCTCGTTCATCATCAACACCATTTAAAACAAGGCAGGAGATATAAATAATTTACCACCTTTTATGTACAAAAAAGCTTCTCAAGAATTGCCACCAATTACTGCAACACTCTTTAACAAATCCATCGAATCCTCCACCTTCCCAGCAATTCTCAAAATAGCGAGGGTCACCCTGATCCACGGAGATCAACCAGACTTGGATAACTATAGACCAATATCTAACTTACCTCTGCTCTCTAAAATCTTTGAAAAATTAATTCATAGGCAGATTTATTCCTACCTCATCTCTCAAGACATAACTCCTCTCAATTTGGATTCAGGACTAATAAAAGCACGAATGATGCTATTATACATATGCTAGAACTAATATACACCGCTCTCGAGAAGAAAGAAGTCCCGCTGGGAATCATCATTGATTTACGTAAAGCTTTTGATACAGTCGACCATGATTTGCTGCACATTAAATTAACACACTTTGGTATAAGAGGGCACTCCCTCAACTACCTAAAGTCATACCTTAGTAACAGAAGCCAATATGTGTACACAAATGGAGCTAACTCTTCCACACAACCAATTACAGTTGGGGTCTCACAAGGAAGTGTCCTTGGCCCTCTCCTCTTTTTCAATTTATATCAATGACCTACCGAATGCATCACAACTACTCAAACCCATATTATTTGCAGATGACACAACATACTTCTCTCACCGAAACCCAGTCATACTGACCAACACTGTTAATACTGAATTACAGAAAATATCTACCTGGATGATGACTAACAAGCTTACACTCAATACTGACAAAACCTATTTCATTCAGTTTGGAAACAGAGCCACAAATGTTCCACTTAACATAACGCTAAACTGATCACCCATCACAAGATGCACAGAGGGAAAATTCCTAGGAATCCACCTTGACAGTAGCCTTAAATTCCAGACCCATATACAACAAATTTCCAAGAAAATCTCTAAGATAGTAGGCATACTATCAAAGATACGGTACTATGTTCCACAATCAGCTCTCCTTGCACTCCTCTACCCTTATCTCACCTATGGAATTTGTGCATAGGGATCAACAACATTAAAGACCACAAATAACCTAGCAAAAGACTGCAGTCAGAATTATAACAAATTCCCACTCCAGACAGCATACTCCACCAATATTCAAAAGTCTAAAACTACTCACCTGTACTTAACTCGAGTGGTGACCTGTACTTAACTCAGTGGTGACCTGTACTTAACTTCAGTGGTGACCTGTACTTAACTCAGTGGTGACCTGTACTTAACTCAGTGGTGACCTGTACTTAACTCTGTGAAGAAGTGTCTTGTTTGCTCCCGTGGACTGAACCAAGATGCCCTCCATCGAGCAACTTTACCAGCAACTTAAGGAAGAATTGAGGGCAGCGAAGATGGAGATACGGCGATTGACCGAGGAAAACAAGAGGATTCGTAGTAGTCCTCCTGTTTCGAGTCCTCAGGTCAAGAAGGGATCGTGGTCAGTGGCTGGACAGCAGGGGACGACGAAGTTGACGATCAAGAAGACGAATGGAAAGCCAGAAACGATGAAGAAGAAAGAGACTGCTGTGGAAACTCCTGTGGAAACCTCCAACGCATTCTCGGTGCTACCCGACGAATGTGAGTCGACTACTGGGATCGTCACGACGAACGACAACAAGGAAGGTAAGAATATTGTTGTTGTTGGGGATAGCCAGGTTAGATACATGGATAGGGCATTCTGCTTGAAGGACAGGAGTAGGAGACAAAGGGTATGCTTTCCTGGGGCTGGGATGGAGGACATTGTTAGCCGGCTTGACAACATCATGAATGGTAATGGGATCAATCCTATTATTTGCCTCAGTGCTGGAGGCAATGATGTAGGCAAGCGTAGAAGTGAGGATTTAGTTAGAAAGTTCAGGACAGCTATAGACATAATTAGGAAGAAGGGGGGCGCCCTGTTATATGTGGCATTTTGCCAAGGTGTTGGTAATGAATGGTTGTCCAGAGCAATTGGTATTAATTGTTGGCTGGATAAACACTGTAAGGATAATGCAGTACCATTCATTGACAACTGGGACAACTTCTATGGCCGAAATGACATGTATGCCAGGGATGGGGTTCACTTATCCAGGGCAGGTGTGGGTTTTCTTGCTAACTCAGTTGAGGGGGTTGTTAGGACTTTAAACTAGGATTAGTTAGAGGTATGGGTTTAGAAATGATTAATAATGAGTATGGATATATTGACTTATGCTCTGATATTAAGAATCTTAATAGTAACTATCATGGAGTAACTCTGGGTAATGATAATTTCAGAAATTGTGTAAAAAACAAAGATAAATGGGAAAAAATGTGCAGAAGAAAAAACATATGATGGTATTTTATGCTAACAGTCGAAGTGCAAGAAATAAAATTAATGAACTACGTTTGGTAGCATGTGCTGGGAACTTTGATATCATTGCATTAACTGAAACGTGGTATGATTTAAAGAGTCGGGATATGACTGTTGAGTGTAATATTCAGGGATTTAAGTTGTTCAATGTGGATAGATGTAATGGGAAGGGGGGAGGAGCTGCATTGTATGTATGAGAAAATATTAATTGTTGCATAAAAACAGGTATAAAAATAGATGGAGCAGTAACAGAGTCTGTTTGGGTAGAGTTCGTGGAGGGTCAAGAAAACTAATTCTAGGTGTAATATACCGACCTCCAGGCTTGGATCACGATAGAGGGAGACTTCTTTGGGACGAAATTGTTAGGGCTTCTGGACACAGTAACATAGTCATAGTAGGGGACTTTAACTTTAGTCAAATTGACTGGAATTCTTTGACAGGTAATCTAGAGTCCAGTGACTTTATGGAAACAGTTCAGGACTGTTTCTGAAACAGAGTGTAACTGAGCCTACCAGGGTAATAATTTGCTAGACCTAGTCTTGTCAAATAAGGAAACACTCGTGAATAATCTGGAGAACACTGAAGAGCTTGGCGCAAGTGATCACAAATCCATCACTTTTAGCATTAACTGGGAATGCAGAATAATGATAATATAGTTAAAAAAACCCTGATTTTCGTTCTGCCGATTATAATGGACTTAGGGAACATCTGTCTAATCTTGATTGGGGTTATCTAGCTAATGATTTTATTGACGATAATCATACTTATGAATATGAAGGGATCTGCTTTTATGATTGTTTTCTTAAAAATGTACACAGTGCCCAGAGTATATACATTCCCCAGAGAGAATTTAGGTCTAATAATAACGATCCCAAATGGGTTAACAGGAGGCTTAAAGCTCTATTAGGGGAGAAAA